GGTTATTTTCGTTCTTCGTGATCGGCGCATTTTCGCTATCGTGATCCGTTTTTCTAGATTTTTTTTTTTATATTTTCGTGATCCGTGATCATGGAAATTTATTTTCTGTGAATCGTGATTGACAAAAAAATCAACTCGTGAATCGTGATGAGACCCCAATCAGGCCCCTCAGTATTGTATTTTCCACAGTTTTTGCATTCAATTATTCTCTATTTCTATATTTATTTTGCTAATTTTGTTCTTTTCATTTTTTTTACCATTAATCTATATTCTGCAAACCCCATCCAAACCCTCATATTTTTTCTATCAGATATATTTTTATTGTTTTTTTGTATTGTCTTTTTTTTATGTATACCCTAAAATCTTTATTGATATACCGGTCGTTTGAGTTGTGTTTCACGGTGGGGTATTTTATAGCATACTATGATAGGCAGTTGTCTCTAATTTGTTTCCCTTGATACTTTAACACATTAAAGTATATGGGTATTTTTTTTCAGAGACAACTGCCTTAGCTTACTATACGGTATGGGTTTTACTTATTGTTGAAGGTCATACGGTGAACTGTAGTTGCTTACATCTACGTCGTTTGGTCACTGGTAGGTAGTTGTCTCATTGGCAAACTTGTCACATATCTTTATTTTTATATGGTATATATTTTTCACATATAATTGTAGTAAAATATACTTATGTCAAAAACATATTAATCGAAAGGTGCCATAGGTAAGGTAGATTCCTGGGAAGGGGACTGCACTTTCATATATGTATATATATATATATATATAAATACTCTAAATATCAGCATAATAATGTTAAATCTGCTTTACGCAAATTTTTGTTCTTCCCTCGGCGATGGCATTTATGAAAATAGCATGGTTTTTTTCTCACCTTTGTACATAATTTATATCGAAATTTTGGCGCTATCTAAGAGTTAAAGCGTTTATAACAATACTTTAGTTTATTTATTCCAAAGACTTATTATAAGTTTAGTAAGAAACATACTATTTTTCAATTTCTGTTTGATTAGACAGACACTTATTCAAATATCAATTCCCAGTTTGCTATATTCGGTATGTTTTTGAACAAGCGATTAATGTGTTTATTATAGCGCCTACAAAAGCTGATAATAGACGGAAATCTTGTTTTGGACCATCGATCACTGTAAAGTGTTGACATTATAGCACTGTAGTCAATGCAAACTCCTCCAACAGATCGTTTATCTATGATACAAATAAGACCTGTCGAACAAAGTCAAAAACAATCACGCCACGGACTATTGTTATACTGTTAAATGTTGTACGATAAGCGTCTTCAAGTTCCAAATCCAATATGTCAATTGCCTCTGGGATTATGAATTTATTCATATGTTAACACGAGACCTCGTGTTTAATTCATTTGGAGTTGGTTTACAGAAATGTTTGGTTTTTGAACTCTGCACTTCCTTGACGTATTGTAGGCTGTTATTTACTTAAACAATGACATACATTAACAACAGTCTATTGCAAAACTTGGGAATATCATGATTATTTTCCAGTATGATTCTAAAGAAAAGATTAGTTTGATATCAAAATCTCACTTCAAAGATGCTCCAGAAAAAAAAGAAAAGAAAAAGGCACGCGTAAACCAAATATAAAGAGTGTTTGCTTATAATAAAAATAGCAATCAAAATATAAATTCACTGAAACTGCATGCATGAAAATATCGCTTCTCTCACACAATTGCATATTAGGTAAAGCGTCCTTGGTAAAATGTAATGAGGGACGTAAAACTTTCCTTGGAAGTGTTTATTAAATGAAGTCATTAGCAACCGCCATTTTCACATGGTGGAGATAGTATACCGTTGAACGCAATATGAAATCCAAACAAGAACTGTCAGTTCGTTTGACATTTCAAGTTTGATACGTTATAGATAATTGTAGAAGCTTTATAGTGACGTTTAAAAGTACTCCATTTTATGTCCTGCCACAGACCTATTTCTGGTTCGACAAGTGTCGTAATAAAATTTGAAGCGTAGAATATTTCCTTTAAGTATTAAATCTCAATACCGACGTACTGTATTAGATTTTTCTCATATTTTTTTGTTGTTTTATATGGACAAATTTGTCATAATGGTAAAGGGAAGTTTATTTTATTTGATCCTGAGATGAGGATACTTCTCAACAGAATACTATAGCTATACCATAATAGAAATTGAGACAAAATTGTCATATCTAACGAGATTCATACGCGGCAATTCCATTAACTGTAATTTACGAAGGCAAATAAATGGCTGTATGTAAAACAAATACAATGTATTAGAATACAAACTTTTATTAAGTTTTCTAAACACCAAATATCTTGATATTGGTCAATTTCAAGACATCTTTTCCAGTGTATAAGGTTCTTTTCTATATATACTTTAGCTAATGCGTACTAGAAATTGAGACAAAATTGTCATATCTAACGAGATTTGCACGCTATCTAACGAGATTTACACGATAAGTAATTCCATTCACTGTTATTAACGTAGCCAATAAATGGCTGTTTGTAAAACAAAGGACAGTTTTTTTAGAATAACAACTCTAATGTTAAGTTTTGTAAACAGCTGATAAATTGACCTTGGACATGTTCTAGAATATATTAGATTTTTTTAACTTACACTTAGGACAATTAAGTTCTGAAAATAAAGATGGTCTACTTTGTTTACACAAAAGAGCAATTGAGATCAATCATACAACACACGTATTAAATACCCTCTGAAGTTTGTTTTTTTAAAGTATTTAAAAACTCGTGTTTCAAAATTGTAATCTGGTATCTATGATGACTTTATTTCCTGTCATTTCTAATGTTTTCAGAAACGGAAAACTGAAGTCGTCCGAATAACTTGATATACCAGTACATAAATATATGTTTATTTACAACCGTGTGTCTGACTGTTCCACTAAAGGATAATTGTATGTTTTTGAACGGTGAAAACCTCCGAGACGAAATAGCTTTAAAACTGCGAAGAAAAATAACGAATCTATTATTGCTTTCATTAGAACAGTAAATTACCAGTGTCAAAGGTTTCATATAATACTAACTAGATATCCTTATATTAGTTACGACTGGAATAAATAAAATACTCGATAATGGCAAGTTTCTATCACATCGATTGTATTGTTTCAGTACAATATCCACAGAAACTATGTCATTTGCAGACATATTCACTATTCAGATAAAAAATGGAAATACTCGACTTGAAAAGTCAAGGAACAATAATGAATTCGTGTGAACTATGTCAAAATACAAAGACTATTGTTTAACAAAGGCATGATATATCTATATGGTATTGAGGTGGAATTTTATTACATTTGTATTTCGATCAGTCCACTTAAAAACCTCTGAAATGACACTGTTTATATGAATTAAAAACGATGTGAGGTCGGCGTCAATGAGACATCAACCAAAACGAAAAAAAATATATAAAAATACATCCCAAGGTCAGTTCACAATATTCAACAAATCGCCGTTTTAGAAACTAATGCATTCTGAGTAATATTTTCAAAAGTGACACGTTGTGATCGGTTTAAAACGTTCTAAACATTGGCAATTGAACCAATGACGTAACGTTATTATCTTTTTGGTGTACGAACAACGAGATTACCCAAAGTCCTTTTAGATTCTGAAAAGGCGAATCGTAGAGGTCTATTCAATATTTAAATCTCTAGTACAAAAGCTTGTTTTGCTCACCTAGGTCTATGTGCATCTTCCACAATGGACACTCTCCAATATTGTAGAATAGAATAGCATTTTTGATCACCTGTAGGAGAGGTGAGCTAAAAAAGGTAAATATTTTAACAGAGACAATCAAAGACCTGCCACCGACAACCACTCTCCATATTAAAGTTAAACTAGTTGGGGTTTTTTTAAATCTCAATGCTCCATGTTTTTATGTCGATCAGTGGAGAAAAAGGCACAATAATGAATAATAAGAAGATGTGGTATGAGTTCCAATGAGACAACAATCCAAGTCACAATGTGTAAAAAGTAAACAATTATAGGTCAAAGTACGGCCTTCAACACGGAGCCTTGGCTCACACCGAACAGAAAGCTATTAAGGGCACCAAAAAGACTAGTGTAAAACAATTCAAACAGGAAAACCAACGGTCTAATCTATATAAAAAACGAGAAACGAGAAACACTAATGAACCACACCAACAAACAACAGGCTCCTGACTTAGGACAGGTGCATAAAAATGCAGCGGGTTTAAACGTTTTAAATGAACATACAATACAATTCAGTGCAGGAAAAGCGTTTAACTCTAAGAAAATACAACACTGTCATCAACAGCAATCAGCTTATTATATTTTATTCAGAACAACGTTCTTTCAATGCACTAAAACTGCTCATTAGACATTATTTTCTGATATTTTAAAAGAATTTCCAACAAAACATTTAAGGTCCTCATATCGTACTGTATATGACTGAAATATTTGTCACTGGAAGTTAATCAAAAAACAACCAATGCACTTATGGGACTCCGAATCATACCTGTTTTCCTTTGACCTGAGACCACCCTCGTTTTTTGGTGGGGTTCGCGTTGCTCAGTCTTTAGTTTTCTATGTTGTGTTTTGTGTACTGGTGTTAGTCTTTTCGTAGTTTTTCGTTATTTGTCTTGGCATTGTCAGTTTATTTTCGACTTATAAATTTGAATATCCCTTTGGTATCTTTCGCTTCTCCGTTGTATGCCTTTTTAACAAATTGATAAGTTTTATTGATTTTTAGTGAAGAGATCTATAATAGATTAGATTTATTCCATTGTGTCAGTCTAGAGTCATGATGATAACATAAAAAACTAACTTGAAAGAAAAAAAACCAAAACAATACAAAATATGAATAGAATTCAGTATAAATAATTTTAATAAATTAATGTGATAAATATTTACAATTATATTTAAAAAAGCGATATACAACTATGAAATATTCTACTATGGAACATAATTTTGGCACTTGGTGTGATCATTAAATAGTTCATACACATTTAAAAATGGTAGTTCTGCTGCATATCAATGGCGGGTTCTGGTCGTAGTCGTCTTCTCGTCTGGTCTCTATGAACCTGAATCATCTGAACATGTGAGCTATATTCTGGAAACTTCTCCAAAAAGTAGTTCGGAACTTGACGTTTTCTATTGGAAGCACGGCTTCGTCGGTTGGCGAACCACGACTTTACTTGCGCAACAGTGATCCCGGCAATTGAAGCAAGCTGTTCTTTTTCTGTTTCCGTCGGGTATGGATTGTAAATATGGAAATCGTACCAGTCACTTAAAATCTTTCTTGATTTGTCGTTAAGTTGCTTGTAGTTGTTGCTGCTTTCAGGATTTTTGCGTTTTCCACCAAGCTTGGTCTTAATTGGGTGCTTATTACCGGTTATAGACAATGTATTAAAACAACGCACTCTTTTATTTGCCATCCATTTTTTTACTTGTGGTGCAGATATATTGGTCAGCTCTATCAGGTACTCGACGTCTTCTTCAGTTGGATAGGGGTATTGAACATGTTTGTCGTACCATTCTGTAAGAATTCTTGTTGTTTCCGGTGTAATCTGACGTGATTTTGATTTAACTTGTTCCGATTTGGCTTTTTTCGGTATGATCACCCCAGGAGAGATCTGGTCGTTACTGGTTTCCAGTTTGCGTTTCAGAGATAGTCGTGAAGATTGTGTTTCAAACTGTTCCACTGGAAATTGTGTAGTCTGCTGGCAGTGAACAATGTCCTGTCTTGGTTCAGGAAATGTTTCTAGAAGACTGGGTATTTCTCTAAATCCGCTGTCGAAGTTGTGATTTTTTAGATCAGCTATATCAGGCATAACTTCAGCGGCAGCCATAGCGAGACCGAGAACATCAATTGTTGACTGCTCGAATTTTGCGTGGAGATCAGTGTTGGAGTTGTCGTCTGCTGATGATAAACCAGAATCTGATTGGTGGTCCGAAAGTGGTGAGGCTGTGTCATGTGACCTGCGTTTAGTCTGTGCGTTCTTGTTTAATAACAATGCATCCAGATCATTATTTATTTCGCTAATAAGTCGAAGTCTCTTGCAATCAAAGTTCTCATGGACTGATTTAGAGTGCTGTGGTGACATAGCAAGACTGAGCTCAACATATCTGTCAATCTCCATTTTACTCACTTCCTTGCTGTAACTGCTCTCAATTTCGAGTGCTGCAACTTGAAATCGTTCCTGGGAGCGGAACTGAAGAAATTTTTTCTGCAAGTTGAGATGTGCCTTGTGAATATTACGTGACCTTCCTTGATTTGCAGTCGGTTCCCATGAAACATTTATTAGGTTCGTTGGTGTTTGCATATGTAGGCATTCATCTGCCAGGATTTTGGACAGTTCTTCAAACATTGGGTTGCTCTGAAGCCGATGTAGGTAGACCTCCATAATACCATGATCATTGTTCTGTGGTTGGATGATCTGGTCATGATCACTCAAAAGTCGTCTGCGTGTGTTTGGTCTTGAACTTGTGAAGTCTGTCTTATCAGGAGTACTGGAGATACTTCCAATTTCTTCCGATCTGATGTCAAATATAGATGCACCAACTATTGGAGACATGACAGACTCTTTTGTACAAGACATCGTGATTAATGATGGCGTTATGAACTTCATGATATCGGGCGTCTCTGGGTGATCTTTATCAATGTTATTTGACGGTGATCCGAATCGGAAAACCACGTTTTCTTTATGTGGTGTTTCCATGATAAAGTAAAAACTATCGCACGTTCTTTCTGTTCTTATTGAGTATCTGTTTGGTTTATCGATGTATTGAAAACTATTTGATGACTTTGTTTATTATTTGGTCGTTTTTATATCATTTTTTTGTTACTCGGGATGTCGCTTTCTCATATTGAGTTTTGAGTTTAATCTTGAATATTTGGTGTAAAAACATACAATTTGGAGTAACGCACAAACAACAACATGTTTGTTATAATATTGCAAAATTGTGTACATTGATTGAGTTGTTTATTGCAAACAACTCGTTTAGTAATTAGTAACAAATAATTTAGAAGTTTAAGGTATTAACAGATTGATTGACCAATTTATGAGTTATTTACCATTATTATTATTCATTAGTTAATTAGGATAATTTGCTCTTAATGAATGGGTTTAATGTATCGATCGGATTCAAAACTATAATAAACAGAAAAACAAAACATTTTTTTTTACTGTAGTTATATTCAAAATGACCATTGAAAAATAGAATAAAAGTAATCATTCAGTTTTCCTCATACATCAAGAAAAAAATATATTTTCGGAAAGCGAATAAAAACAATGTGTTTTAAATATTTTACTACATTTAAAAAAAAACACGTTTTGAAAACCGTTTTTACATATATAATTACCAATTTTTGTTTTTTATACTTTGGATATTAACGACCGCTGAAAACAATCCGATGCCTCGTGTAGAGAGAGTGCCACGCTTTCTGCACGTTAAGAACCCTTTCAACAACTCTTTGAGGGGTCCACAGATGGCCTGTTGCTAGGCAAAATTTTGTTCATTATCCAATATACTCTCATTTTCCAGTGATAGATAAAATTTTGCCGACCTGCATCCCGGACGACCCTATTACAGGACCTACCTACTGTATTTATTGTTAATTTGTTTTCGTCCTGAACATGCATGAAATCTGTCAATCAATCAATTAACGGGCGCTGTCAGTGGTTAAAAACATTTAATAGAATGAAGAAAAAAAATTAGCAAGTACACAATTATTTAACAAAAACATTTGGATTTGTAGTATTGAATAATTTGTAAATAAATCATTATTATATGGGTCGGAAGAGTTTATTTGTACATCGATACACTAAGACAGGAACGAATATGTCTCTGACTTAGCATATATAATATGGACCAAAAGTACATTGCGAAGGATCTGTTTATAACATTTGGTGGATAATGAATTCATTTGCAATCAAACCACATGTTTATATTACATAGGGTAAAGTCGATTGGCCAAAGGGTCTGAACGTTTATGGATAAAATTACTGCCGCTTCCATGGAAGAAATCTTAAGAAAAAGTTATAATGGGTGGTATAACATATTTATTTCTGTCGTCCAACAATATGATCCGTACTGAAATGGGGTGGGTGGGGGAGCTACATTTTGGATGCACGACATGTGTATGTTTGGTCGGATTGGTGACGTTAAATCTGATATCACTGGATGGGAGTGTTCTAAACGCTGCATGGCAAGGAATCCTTGCAATAACTCATTCAGAGGGTCCAAAAGTCCCATTCGTCATCTCGGTCAATCCATTTTCGAACCAAACTCATTGACTAATGGATTTATTGTTAATGTTTTGCTCGTCCTAAAATGCATGATATATTTTCCACTGGTTCATATTTTTTTTTTCTTTATAACATTGTTTATGGTGTGGTGCTATTTAAAAAGAAGACAAAAACCCAAATGATATAAAGTGTAAAAATAAGGAGATGTGGTATGATTGCCAATGAGACAACTATACACCAGAGTTCAAGTGCCTTGAAGTGGATGTAAGCAATCGTAGGCTACCCTACGGATTCAACAGTAAGACAACCCCATATCGTATAGTCGGCTATAAACGGCCCCGACATGAAAAATGTGAAACAATTTAAACGAGACAACTAACGGCTTTATCAATAACAAAACAATTTACGAAACACAAATATGACAGACATGCATGAACCACTGACAACCACTGAACTACAGGCTCTTGACTTGTGACAGGCACATAAAGAATGTGGCGGGGTTAAACATGTTTGTGAGCGCTAAACCTCCCCTAACCTGGGTAAAAGCACAATATAAGAACAAACAACTTAAAATAAGTTGCAGTTGGCTTGACTCAAAAGATCGGTACGACGGTGCTTTGCTTTTGCGTCAAAATAGTCTTTCATTTGCGCCACAAACCATATTTCATTTGCGCCAAAATAAAACTTTTCATTTGCGCCAATAATACAGGTAAATAGTATAAAAAATAGTTTTATTCAGAAGAGACTTTTAATAATAACTTTAAAACACAGTTTTTGATTGCATAATAAAACATATTCCTCCGAAATCAATCATCGTAACCATAATGAAAGCACTATACACTGATTTATAATGTTAAAACACAGTTCTGTTATAAATTTACGAGATCATAAAAACCTAAAAGAAAGCACTATACACTGGAGTAAACCAAAAGTTTGTTCTGACACAAGACTTGTAAGCAACGGCTCGGATGTACTCATTTACACTGGATAACCTATATGTGTGGTCATAATAAAAAAAATACCGACTTATTTCCTCTATATACAAATAAGGAGATGTGGTATGATTGCCAATGAGACAACTATCCACCAAAGTTCAAAAGAAGTGGATGAAAGCCATAATAGACAACCGTACGGCCTTCAAAAACCCATACCGTTTAGTCGGCTATAAACGGCCCCAACATTAAAACAATCCAATTCTGAGAAAATCTAACGGCCGGTTTGTCTCAGAATTGACAATGTCCGTCTTGACACCCCAAACATGTGAACACTACCTAATTTGAAATCTAAGTGACTCTCAGCATTATATTAAAAAATGAGTATGAACTTACTTACCCAGGGGGAATACTTAAAAAAAATCTTATTCACGATGTAGCAATGAATATTTTAACTTTTCCGTTATATGTTACCTGTAAAATGGCGCAAATGTAATTTTTATTTTTTGGCGCTAATGAAATATAACCTTGTGGCGCAAATGAAAGATAAGATTTTGTAAAAATTGGCGCAAATGCAATGCGCCCCGGTACGAGGCACAAAAATAATTTGCATTAAAACATAACACATGTAGTTTTTTTACGAAAATCATTTATTTATTTTTTAGTTCATTTTATCTTTATTTTTATGGGGAGGAGTCCTCACATGGACTTTAATTTATGCAACTGGAGTATCAATGGCAACTTTTTCTGCACAGAACACAACGCTCGACAACATACATATCTATGGAATTACTTTAGGTATATGAATTTCAGATTAAACTATTTGTTCTCAAGTTTTCTATGGAATTATTATTAGTATTTGAATATTAGATTAAAAAATATTTGTTTTCAAAGTTTTCTATGGAATTTAAAGAATTATAAGAATTTGAATTTCAGATTTTGAATAAATCTGTGAGTATGCCAGCATGCATCTTTCATTGATTAATCATTTTAAGTTATAGATACTGATGCATGTATATCTTTACCGACGCACACAAAAATTTATCCAGCTAAAACAAACAATGTAAACAATAAATTATTGCGGATTAATCATCACAATGCCAAAAAAAATGAAAAAAAATGGAGAAAGACTTTTAATTGATAACCAATAATTTTTCGATTTGATTGCCTATAATGCTACTGATCAGAGATCTGACTACTGATTAAGATACTTAAAATTAATACCAATTATTTTAAGTAACTAATTTGTAAAAACATTCAAATTAATAAAGTCTTCATGTTTTCTTTTTCAATTCAATTCAATCTCCATTTGTGAGAATGAGAATAAGATGAGTGTCATTTGTGTACACACAACTTTATATAAATAGAAACTTCTTTGTCAAAGGAAAACAATAGTTCCATTACAATTAATAATTCATCAGTATAAATTCAGGATTAAGAGAAGTCATACGAAAGAAGTTCTGTTGTTAGAATATGGAGACTCCATACAAGAACCAAGTATTTCAATTTGGCCTTGTGTCAAACTGTTACCCTCCACACCAAAGTAGTCCATATATGCCCGACATTATGGAGTTGTTATCGCCGTCTTTTCTTCCAGTGTTTGCAGACAACAAAAGAACTGTGACGTCACTAGCACTGGGGAATTCCATTGTAAATACCATACTCGAAGGTACAACACCCGAGAAGTGTCGGACAAGTCCTACCCATGTCATCCATAAACAGACTCGCAGACGACTGCGTCTTGACGCTGGATTTACAACTTCACCACACAAGCCAAGATGCCGTGAAGATCCCTTGACAAAACTTCAACACAATCCAATGTTCAATGATTTAACAAAACTGCTCGCAGAAGAATGCCACCACATGCAAGTACCGACCAACTTGATGAATATCACATGGGATCATAAGATAACCAGAACTTCGAATGTCCATATTGGTCATCTGAAGCTTCAGAAAAGGTTCCTTCAATTTAGATCAGAAGATAGACTTCCAACGAAAGTGCGTGAAATTGAATGCAGATACAGCAAAGAAGTAAACACGATGGAGGTTGCCAGATATTTAGAAGTTAGTTCTTGTTATAATTCTTCGGAACAAACATTGGCCGTCCATGAGCGGTTCGACCATTGTCGCCTTCAGCTTATATCAGACACAAATAGAATAATGGATGCCCTCGAACAAAAAGCGAAGGAAACTAACCACGAATTAAGTTTTACATCCGACGATAGCAGCAACAACACAGATTATTCAAGTTCACCTCAGCATTTAGATGTTGACGTCCTTGGCCTTGCTATGGCTGCTGCGGACGTTCATCCTTCTCGTATAGACGTTGAACAGCATCTTAATATTATGATACCAACGCATATTCCAAGTCTTCTGGAAACTTTCGATTTGCCA